CCATTATTTGTTTCTATGTGCGGGACACAACACCAGCAACAGCTGCCTCTGCTCCGCGTGTATTGCATTGTTGCAATTTCAATAAAATAAAAAATAAAAATAAATAGACATTGGGGATTTGGGTTGAGGAAATACGTAAATTTTAGTTATCCATAAGTCCTCCCAAAGTTACATGGCAGCCCCAAACATCTTACCAGTACCTTTTTAGGATTTTTTTTGAATATAGAAAAATAATTTCATGTAGGGTCTTTTTCAAAGTGAGGAGTTCATATAAGGTGAGGGTACAACAGTTGCCTTTTTTCGAGGTCATGTGGCAAATCGAATTATAAGCAACAGCTAAAATAGATTATTTGTGACCTTTTCCAACATCTTGCCATCTAGCGCCTGCAGGTCGCTTACGTATAGAAGGCACGATAGCAGCTGCAGCTGAAAATGCCACATAGTTCACCGCTTGGCACTTTGACAGACACATTGCATTGCTTTTTTTCTCAGAAAGGTCTTTTCAAATGTCAAGAGCCGAAGTACGTTCAATGGCCGAGCAGAGAAAAAAAAATGCAGTGGTTCGTACAATAATGCTTTCTTCAATATATGCAATATGTTTTAGTCATTTTTTTCTTAAACGGCACTTACTATTTCAACAGTATTATTTGGTGAGAAGTCTCTAAAACGATGCACAAATATGTAACTCTACTTGGTGCAAGTATTAGTGATTTCTGTCATTTCTAATTAAACCAGCAAAGTCTTCCCATATGGTCATCATCTAACAAAGAACCGAACCACAGAATATCCCATCTTGCTGTATAGCTGGTATAAATAATCTTGTACTAAGGAAACCTAATCTCTCGCCATATTATATCAAAGTACAAAAGCCTTGTCCCCAATTCATTGTGGATCTTCTTGCCTATCTGTAAGCAGCTGGTCACTGTTTTTGTCCCACGAGAGTAAATTAGAAGAGAACATGAGAGCTGGAGGGAAACACATGGCCTCTACCTGCGCTAATCATTCACGCTGTCACCCTTTTGAAAATCATTTTCAGTCCGCTGCCCCTATGATGTTATAACATGGCATTATAGATGAAAGAAGCTCCAATATGGGAGAAGCACATTAAAAAACAACTTAATTTTGAACGGTCCCCGGTTTATTCCTTTAGAGTTAACTGTAACATTATGTCAACCGCCCAAAATTACATTTTAGCAAACGTTTTTAATTCTATTTGTGTCCTTTTCATCTTGGGTGGGGAATGCGTACTCTCGCTTTATCGATTCAACTTTGTTTTTTTCTTTCACATGTATTCTTCGTTAGTGTTTTGCATTGTTTAGTATTATTAGTATTATTAGTGGCGGCGCTAACATAAGTTACGTAACTTGAGCCCGTCGTCACTGTGTCCTGTACCCTAATTTTGTTTACTGTATGCTGAATTTAAAATAAAGCACATTAAAGACCGTACAAAGAAAGTGATCTGTAAAATAAATGACAGAAATACGTCGATGAAGGTTAGACATCCAGGTAATACGATACGCCAAAAAACAGTTACTCAAGCAACTGGATATGATTTTGAAAACGTCAGACGTTTCAGCTAGTATCCACTAGCTTTCGTCAGTGACTGAGAGACCAGAGGGGAAAGCAGGTTTATAAACACAACCTATTGATTGATATGCAAATAAAGTGAAGACAAATTTTTGGAAGTTCAAATTTACAATATTTCCCTGCTTGCAGAAAGAAATCCATCTAATTTTGATACGTCTGTTCAGAGGATGGTGCGCAGCTTGTTCTTGTTAGTCCATCGCTTTTCTCTCATGTTTCACTCCCTGAAGAAAAAACTCGATCCCTTCATATGTGTTTTGAAGCGTCTTTTCAAAGGATGGTGTACAGTGTTGTTCATTTATCTCTCTCTCTGATGTAAATTTTTGGCGGCTTCATCACGCAGCTCTTTGTTGTCGTCGTGACCCAAGTTTTCAGCCTCTCATTAACCATAATTATACGTTGTCAGGATCAAACACAACGATGGATGTTCTAAATTTGTCAGGGGATGACAGTTAACAAGATGGTACACGTGTCCGGTCTGATACTAAATTTTCACCAAAACAACAGCTCAAAGACTGATTTTTTCTGGGTCCCATCTAAAAATGATAGCTGGGCAACTGTGATCGGGCCTGACGGCTTTGATCATTGTCCTTTCAACTCTACATCCTGCCCGAGCTTTCTGACGTGTATATAGAACACTGGTGATTATAAGTAATCACGATAAGGTATGATCTAGTGCTGTGGAACACTGCTTACCAGGACAGTGCATTGGTTAGTACCTTTTTCTATCTCTCTGCAATACTTTATCTACGTATTCTGCAATATCTACCCGATTGTTGACATGTGTTCGTGTTTGTTTTAGTATAAAATCTACAGCTATTGAGAGTAGGAATGGGGCTTGAAATGGTAGGATGTCCCTACATCTTATTTAAATTCACTACTAGCTTACTACCTTACTTGCTTCCGTTTTCCTGCCCGTTTTATTTTTCATTTTAACATCCGTTACATAACCTTGCCTGTTTCCAGTACCTATTGTACTCGGTGATGCATATCAAATTGTATTTTGCTGAACTATGTCAACTTTAAATATTGATTATAATTGTTTTGTACGAAAGTTTTGTACGTGTATTTTGCTGCGACCTAAAAACGTCACACCAAAAAAAAAACTCACACCAAGACGGATGAAAAGGTCCAAATGTTAATCCTAGTTCAAAAACTATAGGTTTATCTGAATGCAGAACCAATCCTATCTTGACTTCGTGGAAGTCAAAGTCAGTGGGGGGTTACTGGCAGGCCATTAATCAAGCTGCAGTCTCGCATTGACAGAGGTCACAGAGCAGGGGTGACCTCATCATTAATCCAACCTCCCATTCAGAACAGAATCGATGAAAGGAATCTCAGAATACTTTAATGAATACTCGGAACAACAATGGAGCCACTGACATAGGAGTAAACCTTGTTAGAAGACGTGCAGAGGTTGGCTAAATTAGAAAATACCAACATTGTCTCGGTTAGTTCAGGTTTTGCATACCAGCTTTAGTATTTCTTGCCATTGGTATCAAATTATATGACGTAAGAAAAACTATTTTGGTTAACTAACTCGAAGTGGAATAAACCTAATTTTCATGGGCAACAGACTGCTACTACGGAAGAAGAAAAAATAGCTTGCATCTGTATCTGCCATTAAAAATTTGAGGTGAAAAAATGTATTTTGCATGATATGGTATTCTGTGGGGGTTTTGATATGTTTTTATTCTGCTTTTATTCTGGATTCTGTAAACAGTGACAGCGTTTTGTTCTGATGATAAAAGACAATTTTTTCTTTACTATTCAACGCGGGTACCCAGACTACACCTGCGGCAAATTGTACTTCCGTAAACAGTGCAAGTGCGTAATTGTGTTTCTAGATAATTCGTTCTGATGAACCCAACCAAGCGCTACCGTAAGAAAGTAGCCTGGAGCTTTTATCATAGCCCACTGAGATATATACGTATCTAATAAGAATTGCAGTTATTAACTCTCCATAATAAACGTTAAGAGGCTGAAGCAATTTATTTTGATGAAAAAAGAAGAATCTAGGACTTTAATGGCATCCAGTAAATTGCTTCACAAAATAAGAATGTCTGAATGCCAGAAGATGAGTATCCCTCTGGCGGTTATTAAATAGAAGAAGCGTACCCGCACGACCTTTTTGTCGGTCATTGCGTATTCTTGGCAACCTTCCACAGTTGGCAACAGGCAGCCACAGACAGAATACTATCTGTATCTGTATAGCCGGCATAACCGCCTTTCGGCGTAACACAGCCACTACTGTCGTCTTCACTAACACAAATCTTTCATTCGCATCTTCTTCCTCATGCTTGTTGCAGGATGCGCAGCTGTGAAGAGTAAAGGGTGAACAAAGACGTGGATGAAAGAAGCTGTGACGTCAGAAGGACCAGATGATGCTGTTTGCGAGATGCCTGATCTTCAGTCTTGGACTCGTCGTCATCTATGGTAAGGCCCTGTAACTATTGATGCTATCAGATCTTCCAACCTTGCAGATTCAAAGATAACGTAGATTATGTTTTTAACGCATGTCATCTCTCTGTGTAGTACGTTGTTGCGACAAAGCAGATGTGCAAAGTCGATAGCTTTGTTACTCAGTCTGCATAATTTAATTGCAAATGTCTGTTTCTGTACCTTTATGTAATTTGTGCAGGGGCCCTGGAAGATTAGCCCCTTTTGTGGCCAAGGGGCGTCGAAAGGACGTCTAAATAAACTGAAAGAATGATAAAATTAATAATAATCATCATAGCATCATCACCTAATATCATTTCTTACAATTTGAACATCTCAGCTTGTAGTATTAAATGGATCCATGTAGTGGCATATAACTCGTAGACTTGTAGGTGATTGTTTGACGATGTCAGCAACCTCTTATGCAATGTACGCTTATCTTGGCGCCTGTGTGGCTCTATATGCCTCACGTTGCTTCACCTTTGTTACCCGTTGGATTAACGCGATTGAAAAGGTGCTGTCATTCTTGACTTGTCACTTAAAAAAAATTCGCTGGCACAAAAAAGTGGGCTGAATGCCAGATACATACGCCGTTTGCCTCAAAGCATAGCAATGTACAGGAGACAACAAATTGCATATAGTTTTAAAGACAGCTTAATTGTAATATTATAGTGACACTATTGATTAAAGCGTTAATTTCATTGTCGTCAATTTGGCTAAATTCTATAATTCACCCCTCAATCTCATGTATTCTGATGAATAATCAAAGATTTGATATCAATTGCAGATTCTTTTACTTATTTTTTTTTGCATTGTATAGGTTTAAAATTCTTCTCTCTTTTGAATTAAATTTCTGGCGCTAACGTTTTATGTTTTTACAAGTTGCGAAAATTAAAGGAACCTTGCCTTTGTCTTTTTATTTTGTTTTGAAAATAGTTGAACGAGCGGAGTCACTGTTTGAGGGTAAAAAGCTTCTGAAGGAACTGATGAAAAACTACCAGCGGGGGATCCGGCCTGTCGCCAACTACTCCCAGCCAACACCTCTAAAACTGGGAGTGGACTTCCGCCAGATCATAGACCTGGTAGGTTTTTTTTTCTTTGCATCCGTTTTCTTCTGAATCTTTGAACAAGAATGAAACACTTGGTAAAGGTTTACGAGTATTTATGGTGAACAGGTAATTATGGTTTGCCGCCAGAAAAGGAAATATTACAAATAACTTGCTGGATTAGCACTGTCATCAGCTAATTTTGAACTTATAAGTATTGCAATCTGGATACTTTTACCTTAAATAGTATATTTAACACCAATAACAAAGTACAGTACTGTAATAACATGCTTTCTCATGTCAGACTATCAGTACGGTAACAATGTTTGTAAATATAAATGAATTTTTATAAGAGTACCCTATATGCATGCACATGTACATATTATGTCGCAGTCGGCCATTGTACCTGAAATGAAATTCAATTAATTCAATGCATTCTGTTCATTCCATAAAAATTGAAAGTCAAGCTAAGTCATGATGCATTTGATCAGTTCTCGACTGTTTTATAGTAAAAGATATAACAACAAAAGCAACTTTTGTTTCTTCTTGTCGCACAGGATGAGAAGAACCAGATTCTCACTAGTGACATCTGGCAGAGACAGGTAAACACCTCATCTTTGATACTTAGTTAAATACGTAGTTCCCATTAGTTATCTGTATATCTCTGCACTTCTTCTGCACATCTGACAGGTAATGGGACATCAATTAGGTACTTTGTATACGTGCTGACCTGTTAGCGATTTGGTACGTTTTATCTGTTATCAGAAACCCACATTATGTGCATTTGGCAGAAAACAGCTAATGGGGCAACAAAGTACACGCTTTTAGTTATCTTTATGTCTCATCTTTCGGTGGTCCATGGTCTTCTACTGTATTTTAATGGGATGAAACACTATTACTGTAAGACACGAGTGTTCTGTATGATTGCAAAATAAAATATACCCCCCCCCCTAATAGTGCAAAAACATGTCAGACACATTTTATTCTTCTTGAGTTTTTTTATTTATTTTTATTTATTTTTCTTTTTTGCACCACCAGTACTGGAAGGATGACGACCTGAAATGGAACCCTGACGATTATGACGGGATGACCTTCATTAACATCCCGTCTTCGGCAGTCTGGGTACCGGACATCGTCCTCACTAACAGGTAAGACTGCATTTTTCTGTCCTTCTTTGATGCATATCGTCACCACTGACAGGTTAAACTGAAATGCTTTGTCAATCTTTGATGCGTATCGTCTTTACTAAAATATAAAACTGCAATAGTGCCAACGCTCTGCCTTTTTTGATGCATATCACCCTCATTAAAAGGTAAGGCTGCAATGTTTTGTCCTTCTTGTTATGCATTTACTGTTGGTAGTCTTCCTACATGATGCTTACACCATTTTATAGAAGCTTGATGGACAACACTTCTAAATACGCCAGGAATTGGGAACATGAAAACACTGTACTAACATGGACCAATTGTTTTCAGACTGAGAAGTTTTTGTAACCATACTGTTGATAGCTGTAGTGGTAGGATTCCACAGTAGCCTATACTACCGTGCAGTAGCTATAGACTGATACAAAGTTCTCAGCAACTGCTGATAGTTCTTGCATAAAAATGGCTTTTCTGAGTTTTAATAGAGACGATGAACTCTCCTAATCATCCTATGAGAGGGATATATCGTACGTGTAATATGATTTTAATGTGTTCAATAATATTCGTCTGCCAGCCGTGAGTGAAAACTTGCAACCACCTTCCGCCTTTGAACTGCCAACGTAATGCTGTTGGCGGTTGGCAACATCTAATACGTTCTCGAAATATAATATCTGACTCGAGGCCAAGATTTGTGAAACAGGAAACTATGTGGGTAGATCTGACAGGGCAGTAGTTTCCACAATTTGTTTCATGTGGAACTTCCTTACTTTTATGTGGGCGTCGCGGATCAGGATCAAATGAGGTTGCAAGGCGGTGGTGTAATTGGGGTTGTTGACTTAGGTTATGAAGAGCTATGGATTTAAATCCCTCACACACAAAAATGTTGTTTCCTTGGAAAAGTCATTTTACACTAATTTCCGTAGTGTTGACAGCCAAATTATGCAGTCTACATGTAGTGAGTCAGTAATAATTAGTGTTTTAGCAAGGTTCGGAATTGGAACTAAGCTGGAGGCTGTCTAATAATTACGATGTGCTGCGGCTTTCTTTTTGTAATTACTAGTCAAAGGCAACAATTCTGAAACAGGATATCGTGTGGGAAGATCTGACAGAAAAATGGTTTTCCGGGTGTCTGATGTGGATCGTCTTTACTTTAATGCATATGGCACTTGTAAATCTGAAACAGGAAACGCTTTCTCGGGGGCTCTATATGAGTCGTCTTTACTTTTATGTGAGATGAGTATTGCAGCAAGATCAAATAAAGTGGCGAGGTGGTCTTCTAACCGGGGTCATTGACTTAAAACCTGAAGGACCGTTATGAACTAATTTCCTGGCAGGCCCTAATTCTATGCCCTCTTCATTGGTCTTTCTATGGTCTTTTGCACCTCTTTTAGAAAATGAGTGCCTAACTTCCTAACTTTGGTTAAGGGTTACCTCTTGGATAGGATTCAAAGCGTTGGCCTTTCTTCCTAAAGTGGACGTAAAACTGGAGGCTACGGGGTTATATTATGATAACAAAGCGCTACGGTATTCCTTCTGTAACCACTAGTCACAGCCGACAGCTTTGAAGGAGGATATTGTGTGGGAAGATCTGATAAAAAAATAATGGTTTTTGGAGGCGTTTTATGTAAATCGGCTTGTCTTTCATGTAAGAAGATAGGGTCTTCTTCAGATTTCTATTACATTTGTGGCTTTTCCTGGAAAAATGAGGGAACTGACCTAGCTTTCAAGAGAGTTCCTAGAAACAAAATACAAGAAGTTTTTCAGAGTCTAAAAGAAGTACTTCAGAGTACAAAAGAAGTGTTTCAGAGTAGAAAAGAAGTGTTTCAGAGTGTAAAATTGCATTTTACCTAATCGTGTGAAGTCTGACGAAATTTAAACCAAGTTCATTACGTTTTACGATTGAGTAGTTTTGATACATTAATTTTTTTCTATTGTTTATTTTATTTTTCTTTGCATAGTGCTGGCAAGAATCATGACCAACCGGAAACAAACGTCATCGTCAGCCATGACGGGCAGGTCACGTGGCTGGTGACCCGGATGTACAAGAGTTCGTGTCACATCAACACGTACTACTTCCCGTTCGATGAGCAGAACTGCACTTTGACCTTTGCGTCATGGACGTACAGTGGGAACGAGATCAACCTGACTCATGAAGAGGTTTGTTTATGTTCACTGAAGGAAAACATATCGTTTTTGCTGTTTCTTCCCCTCCAAACACTGACCTGATCAATACCCTGAGACCATCTGGTAACTGGTGTTGGGTTACATCATGCTGCAATTTTAAAGCAGGAGGGATTTAGACTGGCCTGTCATTTCAAACATTTTAGATTTGCTTTGCAAATGTTACCTTTCTATTTTTTTTCAATTCATCGCTTAATTTAAATACAAATAGCATACACATCAAGAGAGAGAGAGATCAACATTTTTTACTTTCAATCGATCTAATAGACAAAATCTACTAATGTTGCAAAGTCTTGCATTGTGTCGGTTTTACAAGGAAAGGCATAACATCTTGTTACAATGAATTTTTTCGTCTTTGTCACAGGTTCCGCCGAGCAAGTCCTACTATGTGGACAACGATGAGTGGAAACTGGTGGAGATTCACGTAGAGAGACACGTACAAGGTATGATATCATTGCAATATGAATTTTAATAATTCAGAACAGCTTATCAGGACCTTTTAAAATTTTTCTTTGGATAATGGTAGCTGCAAAAACCTCTTAAACTGATGGCACTACAAAGTAGAAATTTGCCTTTTGTGAAACAGGTGTTTTTTATGCTTTTAGTTGCACATCATCGAATAAACCAAATTATAAATAGTGGTACAAGACCAAAAAGCCTAGTTGTTCCATGTATGTCCACCCTTTAATGAACCTTTTAAGCCACTTTTGATTTTCTTTTAATTCTTAAATTTTCCCTACTTTATTCAAGTGTACGAGTGCTGCCCGGAGCACTACCCGGAAGTGACGTATGTGATCCAGATCCAGAGAAGATCCCTGTTCTACGTCACCAACCTGCTGGCCCCCTGCGCCCTGCTTTCCGTCCTGGCCATCTTCGGGTTCTACCTGCCGTCCGATTCCGGGGAACGAGTGGGGCTGGGGATCACCATCCTGCTCTCGTACTCAGTGTTCCTGCTGATGGTGTCGGAGTGGATGCCGCCCACGTCACGGACTGTGCCACTCATCGGTAGGGTATTTTTTGTTTCTTCTTTACAAACTTCCGAGTGAGAACCAGCTTTTTATGAGAAGCCATATATGTTGATAAAAATCACTCTGTATAATTTTTATCAAAGACAATATAGACCAGCGTGGAACACAGTTTTTTTTCATGTTTTTTGTTGGATTAAGAGTTAAGTATGTACTCCCTTTTTGCAAATCCTGTTCAAATCCCCTGTATTAGATACAAGCTTTTGATGCGATGCATTTTCTTGCAGTTTTGAAGATCGATACATACATATCTGAGATATGTACTGCAATAAGAGTGCGGTTCGACACTTTGTCACAAATCAGAGCTGACAGGTTGGCCACTTTTGCCAATTTGCATTGACGTACAGGAACTGGACCATCACTAATCAAACCGTAATTTGTTTGCGTGTAACCATTAATAAGGACTTATATCATTAGACAACAATTATACTGGAAGGATTGGTCCTATGAGAACAAAAACAAGCTTAATCAACCGTGACTTGTTTACTGCTCAACCAACATTATCCGTCTCATTTCTTCTTTCTAGCACTAATTGCTTCCCTATGGAGTAGTCTTACGCACATCTTAGGGTTAAAAACAAAAACATGACCGAAATTCCAAACGGTCCTTTTATGGTCACAACAACCACAGTTGCTACTTTGAAGTCTTTGTTTTGTATCGTGTTATTCAATCAGAATTCAGTAAAGCGAGTTGCTTTCCACACTATTGCAATTTTTTTTTATCTGATGCACGTTTTCTCGCCTTAACAGCACTCCTTCCTTCCACGCGTAATACCCCCGCGTCCGTTACATAACTGCGTAACATGTCTTACATCATGTATTAGGAAAGGAGATAACTGGTGCATGAGTAAATGGGGGATGTACGGAATTTGTATTCAGCATGGAAGTAGAGTTTTCTTTTCAGCATTGTAAATGACAGAGAAAGAGAGAGAGAGAGAGACGGAGAGAGAGACAGCTAGAGAGATAGAGACAGAGACACAGAGAGAGAGGGGGGGAGGGCGCAATTTATTTTCGAGCTGTTATCAATCAATAAACTAATCAATCAATCACTCAATGCACCAACCTATATATCAATACATATACATCGATATAATTATATTTTAGTACGTTTGGATGTACCTACCGTTAACTGTCTTGTGTCGGTAAAATAATTTCGTTCCATTTACGAAATTGGCAGTTGCCATCCATGGCGCAGCAAATCACTTAAAATAGTCATTTTACAGTTGCGTAACAGAAAATGGCAACATTTGTTCTGATTCTCAATCTATATTGGTGCGTCAGGCTGACAAGTTTTACTTCATTAGTTGCGTCTAAACGCAATCTTGTGACACGTAATTTAGCTGAATTCAATAATAATAAATGGAATAAGGATACGTTTTCTTCAATGCCCCCGTAATATATAAGGGGAAATATCACTGCAGTTGGATTTTAACTTTGTTAGAAAGCTCCCATTCTCGGATTCGTCTTAATTAAAATATCTAATTGATGAAGAATTACTAAAAGAAGACCAAACGTGGCAAAGATTCAGAGCTTGCTTCTTGGATCCACCTCGATGAAAACGACGTATCACTTGATAACGAAGACAACAGAAGACCAAACGAGACAAGATGTAGAGCTGGCTCGTTTAATTTGTAGCTGTACCACTAATAGACTTATGTAACGCACTTTACTTTGGTAGTATTTCATTCTGTAACACACTTAGTATCGACTATTGACTACTCTGCGATAAATTATATGGTCACAGCTGCCAAAATAGATCCAACAATTTTGTGATAGCTGAAGCAGAATTAGAAGTGATTTCAACCTTGCTCTACTTTCCCCTCTAGCTGTCATACTGCAATTATGTAGTGCTACGACTAACTACATCTTGATGTTATGAAATAAAGACTAAATTAACTTCCAACACTTAGATTACGGAATTGAGACTTACCCAAGTTTTGTTTTTATTAAAACAAATCTACCCAACATCTTGATGTTGTTGCTTCAAATAAGCAGTGTAAAGTATGATGTGACAGTAAATCATTTAATAGATAATTTTTTTCGTATTATTCTGTCCTTCTGCAGTGGTGTACTACACCGTGACGATGTTGCTTGTCGGCCTGTCGACCATCATGACCATCGCTGTTCTCAACATCCACCACTGCGCAGCCGACACCACAGAGGTACCCGGCTGGATCCGAAATCTCGTGCTGTCCTATCTCGCGAGACTTTGCCGCATGGAGGTGCCCAAGTCGAAGAACACGCGAACGAACCCTGGCCACCACCAGGTGGAGAACCCGGTCGCCATTTTGAAACTCGATACCCACCACCACAGACGTAGCGATATCGATACTGTTGAGACTGCAAAAGAAACCCCAAAACTCACTCCAAAAGTTGGAGATTGCCGAAAAGAATCGAAGCACGAAACGCCCGTAAGTAGTATCAACGGGCAGCAAATCCACCTTATGGATGCTTTGCAGTCCATTCGTAAGGAAATTTGCATAATAAACGAGAGATTCCATCGCGCGGATTCGGAAAGAGCTTTGGCGAATGAGTGGAAACTTGTTGCTAAGGTGATGGACCGAGTTTTGATGATACAGTTCACGGTGGCTACGGTTCTGACGTGTGTTTGTCTGTTTGCACAGGTTCCAAATATTAACTGGTGAAAAGTCAGGCTGGATTCGTGGGAAAAAAATTAATAAAGACCCATTTGGTTTGTTCAATCCAACATAACAGTTGCTAAAAAATTACTGCATTACGGCCTATCTCTTGCTCAATATGTAAAACCCCTAGGCTAGCTATATTTCTACATGTATATACAAGGTATGACACAGAGAATAGCAGCTGCATTCAATCGCGAAGTTATTCACTCTGTAGTATGCAGACTGAATGGTGGAATTTTATTCAATTGAAGTGTAATACAATTCATGGATATCTTTAGCCAATTAGTGAGTAAGCCGTTGGTTCAGATATTGCACTCCCTGTATAAAGATGCCTTTGTAAATACCTGACTATAAACGCACATTCGCTCACTATCTGTCTCTTTCAACTACAATATATATGTTTGGCTGCTACTAAATGCAATATGTACGTGAAGGATTCCTGTAAAATAAAATGTTACATAATAGGTATATTTCTCTGTAAATAGGTATCTATTTAGATAGATAAATGAGTATGTATAGTAATATACGGATGTCCACTGTAAAGTGCTTTTAATGTTCATAACCTGTATGTAAACACATACAAACATAGTTCACATTGCACGGTTGTAAATAATGTTGTATGATACAGAGGATGATTTAGAAACGTCACTTGACTATGGCGAATTAATTGTTCATACTAGTCCTGTTTTCATATCATACTGTAGGGGCGTTCTTCTATATAGACTAAGAGAACTGTACACCACCCCAGAATATAAATGTATTGTAGTCGACGTCCATGTCGAAAAATATCTATATGTAATAAATGTTATTCTATCAACACTGACGTTTGTGTGTTGTTCTTATTCACTGCAATATATGTAGTTTTTGGACTGACTTAGATATAAACAACACTTAAACACAACAGCCTTATACATGTATGTAGATCAAGTGGGGCAGAACACATCAAAAACTCCACTTTACCGTAGCCATCTAGCGACTTCAGTTGGTCCTGCATCTTTCCGCAGAATGTCCATATCGGTTAAACGTTTCCTGTTGACTTCTTGGTTAGCAGGCTGAGATAAAGTGGGTTCTAGTTAGACAAAGCACCCTACCCTCTTTTAGGTTGTCGACGAAATGCAATGAAGGGTAGTAGTACTAGCATATCGACCCTAAAAGCCACTATTTACTAGTATACACGTTCGGAAAAATTCACCTACCTCCGTAACCAACAGTTTCCATATTGTTTGAGAAGCTAGTCACATACGAGCAAAACTTTCCTGTCAACTCTAACAAAATACCAATAAAAAAAATCAAGGGTATTAGTACAGTTTTAGACTACAGAAACCTACCATGCAGACAGAGTGCAGTATTCAGGTCACCAGGTGCATAGGAGGGTGTGGCGGGAAAGGTGTAACCCTATATGTCTCCGCTGATTGGCCAGCATTACGCGCGAAGCCAAATATGGGTGTGGCGGAAGATAGTGTAACCCGATCTTTACACAGGTGGCCACCGCTGATTGGCTAACATTTCGCGCGCAGCAAAACATAATACTGTGACAGAAATAGAAGGAGATCTGAGATATTCCCTAGCTAGAGAAGTAAATAAACTTGAAACTTGACTTGAGAAATGAAAGGTTAGTACGTATTGATTATTATATGGATTAGTATAGGTTACTATGTATAGAAACATAAGAAATAAAAGGTGGAGAGGAGAAGAGTGAACGCTCTGATATCTGTGCGGAGGACACAATGTACGTCTAATAATGATTTTATACTAGTAACCTTATAATACCTAACTTCCGGATACACAACCCCTTTGCTTAACCAAATTTGTATGCACGAAACACCAAGTGCCGAAGTGGGGTAAAGAGCTTGTGATTCAACGAAGGACAGAAAATTCCTAAGGGTACACGTCTTGGCGCTCTCGATGTCGAATGTTCGTCTGTTAACACACGATGTATAATTGACTTGGTCGTCATAAATATCACACAAATTATCGTACAAGAGTATGTCACTTCTTGACCTAATCTGTATGTATGAGACACTGCTGGGTTAATGTTAAAGACCCGATTCAGAACAAGAATCCCCTGCAAAGTGCGTGCCAAGCTTTCCTGTCAACACGCAATATTAATGGTGACCATGTAAAATACGATTTTTTAGATGAACCAATCCTTTACTTTTCCTAATTTGTATGTTTACGACACTATGTTAGGTCGAAGACCGCCACCTGAATTAAAACTGCATAGATATAGATAGGGATGCCTGATATTAATAATTTTCTTTTAACACACAATGAACATAGCAATCATTTAATAATTTTTAACGAGTTTTCACGTAGATAAGTCCTCTACTTGACCTAGTCTGTACACTTTTAGAGGTTGAAGACCTCGGCTTGAATCAGAGCTTGGCGGACGAAGGTACAACAAACCCACCAGTCGAAAGATCAGATGTCGACCTCGCCTGAATTATCAGTTCCGCAACTTTTCACATATACAGGTTTTCAGGTAGATAATCCCTCTACTTGACCTAGTCTGCATGCGTTGAACACTTTTAGAGGTTAAAGACCTGGTCTTGAATCAGAGCGAAACGAACAGCAAACCCGCAGTCGATAGTACAGGCCGCTTCTCTCCTGAATTATCAGTTCCGCAGATTTTCACAAATACAGGTTTTCGGATAGATAATCCCCCTACTTGACCTAGTCTGCATGCGTTGTACAGTTTTAGAGGTTGAAGACCTCGGCTTGAATCAGAGCGGGACGGACAAATGTAACAACAAATCCACCAGTTGATAGAACAGGCCGCGTCTCTCCTGAATTATCAGTTCCGCAGCTTTTTACAGATACAGGTTTTTAGATAGATAATCCCTCTACTTGACCAAGTCTGAATGCACTGTACACTTTTATTTTTTGTAATCTCCAAGCAGATCATACGGTGGCAAGGCAGTATTCATTGGACAGAGGAGTGCCAATTAGCCACGGTGGCCGTGCAAACTCCTCTGGCTAATGGATACTAGTACTGTCTTGCCACCGAAAGGGATCTGCTTGGAGATTACACTTTCTGAGGTTGAAGACCCTGGTTTGAATCAGAGCGGGACGAACAGCACGTCCTCGAGTTGATAGAACAGGCCCCGTCTCTCCTGAATTATCAGTTCCGGAGCTTTTCACAGCTACAGGTTTTAAGATAGATAATCCTCTACTTGACCTAGTCTGTATGCGTTGTACACTTTTAGAGGTTAAAGACCTGGTCTTGAATTAGAGGGAGACAGCAAGCCCGCAGTCGATAGAACAGGCCGCTTCTCTCCTGAATTATCAGTTCCGCCGGATTAACCCCACGCACGGAAATTTCTCCGCGTCTTTGATGTAATCTGAGGAGCATGAAAGCCGCTCGACCTTTGGGTTTTATAACTTGTGCGGAGATAAACGTTTGCTGGGAGAGTCAGATAAGATGGCGAAGCGTGTGGAGGGTGGCAAAGCGAAATGTAAGGTGGTCAATGACTCCGCTTCTGCCAGTCACAAATAATGGGCTCAGGATTTTCTGTAGCCTGGGTGCCAGCCCCTTTCTCGAGTGAGTGATAATCTCCTTCGGCCACGGAAGCCATACGCCCCGCCAGGACCTAGTCGATCTCCTCGCTACCGGCATGAAAGATAAAGGGCTTGGGCGGATACTTTTGGTAGCGGACATTAGGGTTTCTCCAAAAATGTATCGCTTATGAAACGCCAGCGTCGGGCACCAAGGCAAGATTTCATGAGTCTTTCATTTAATTTGGCTGTGGCTGCTGTGACACGCGCTTGGGAAGCTGGTGTCTTACACCGAAGGGCCGTTATACCTGCCACACTGATACGGATACAGAGGAGTCAAACTAAATATTTTATACATTCATGAATCTTCTGGATTAAATTCGTTATCCAGTGTAACTTCTAACGAACCAAAGTAGGATTTGTTCTGTGTTTTTCTTATTACTTCGGTTAAATTGCAGTCATCCATTTGTCAGCAAACGAAAAGTACATAACGTACACGGTCGTTAGACTGTTAACTCTACTTGTAGTAAGGGGACCTAATTTACCTCAGATAGCAAAGCAGTAGACGTTACTCTAGGTAACACTCAGGGTTCATCCCAGTGCATCTCTATGGCTTCTTCTTTCAAATAGAACACCGCCGTGTGTGGGAGTAGGGGTGGGCGGTGTGTGTGTGTATGATAGCATCATCCCTCCCACACACTAATATTGCTGGTAACATAAAAGCTGATAGAATACTACGAAGTTAGGAAAGCCATATAATGCAGTTGGGTTGTGTGTGTATGAGATTATGCTATTACAGAGGAAGAGAAGAGGAAATGTATTTTAACAATCAAGAAACCTACACGGAAGATGTGGGAATACCGTCTTCTCTTCCGTTGCCTTCAAAGAAAACGTAACTATCTTTAGCTTACTACCTAATAAAGGTATAATTTGATAAAAATTACAAGTTCTGTGATATTTTTGACATCATCCGTTGTTGGCGCAACGGTAAGAGCGTTGGACTCGGAACCAACAGGTCCCGGGTTCGATACTCACAATGTCCCGGCGTTGTGCGCTTGGGAAAAACCTTTGACACGACTTCCCTCCCTGTACGGTGGAGTGACGCCCACCGAGCCTCTTTGGCTAATCTGCCAACGTGTGTGCCAAAACACACTACAGATTGGGTGCGCCAATTTGCTAACATTTGCCACCAAGAGCCGTTATTTTTTTGTCCGTTGGGTATAAATTTGCAGTACATACGTTGCATGGCGTCACATTATACAGAAAGGTGCAGAAGTAAATGTCATCACCACGACAACTTAACGCACTCACTATCAACAGCTTTAGGCGAAAATACCAACCGGTTGTACAACTGACCTTTTCATTATAGAAATATCTTCTGGTTAAGGTAAGGTTAAGATGTCTTGTAAGATAAGGTTTAAAATATGAGCTGAGGTGAGCCTGTGTAGCTGCTTTTCATATGTCATATGGTGGCTTTTCGATTGAAAATGTTCTCTAGAGCAGATTTTGAATTAACTTGATAGCGTTTGAAGTTCACGCAAACCTAGAGCTGTCAGTACTCTACGTTAAAACAAGAGTCTCATATCAAAACTTCAAAGATTACTGGGCTAGACTTGTATGGCCTTATCAAGAAAATGTGAATCGACTCAGTCAGCATATTTTTACATATATATTATTCTTATTCATTTGCATTAAAAA